AGTGCCATCATGTTGTAAGCAGCTGTTCCCCCATCAAGGCAGGGCTGTGTGGCTGTAATTACTCTATAATGTTTTAGGAAGCTGTTATTTGTCTAAGTCTCCTCAGTTGTCCCCAGTCTCATGTTGCCTTTAATTTGTGGATGTCCTCAGTTTCAGAGTTCCCTTATGTCCCAACAGTTATTCCCCATCAGGCCAGGAGTGTGTGGCTGTAATTATCCTATGATGTCTTTGAGAAGCTCTGTTCTCAGGCCAGAGGAACAATTATTGCTCAGAGAAAACAACAATTGCTGCTTTCCCAGTTGAAGTTTCACACAACTTTTGGACAATTTATCTTCTYTACGAATCATTTCAGCAAATAAGTAGACAGCTGTTTGTTCCAGAAAGCAGGAAGTGTGTGTTTGTTCTGAGTTTAGAGTAGCACTGATTCACAGGTTGATTAGAACCAAAAGACCTTTGAGGAATTCGCCATCACAAGCAGTCTTTAAAATAGGTTTGGGTTTTGATTTTCTTTTTGCTTTTCTTTTAACTTTTTTTTACTTGCTAACTCAGACTGCCAACTTTCAGAAGGTTTTTAAAGCACTTGTAGGAAAAATGTTGTCTAACTTTACTGGCATTTATATACCTGTAAGTTACTGTAAATAGTATCTAGTTATTTTTTTATTTAGATTAAAAGAAGACATTTTTATTTGGGCATCAGGTGTAAAACAATTGCCATATTTATTGCGTGAGCTTGAAGTGACTTCTATTCTGGGATGACCTCTGGACCCAGAGGTTATGTTCCAGGACTGAACTGTACCATTTTCTTTAAAAATTATTTTAAAGATTACTCTTGACACATTGTATTCTGTTTTCATAAGATTTATTGTTCTTTAACACTTATTCATGAATATACAGATTTAATATTCTTCAAATTTAAGACAAACATTTATAAAAGGATTTTTTCTTTATTTCAGTGTTGTCATAAATGACTGAGGTCGATATGAACTGGACAGTTAATGCAGATGTCTTTCTAATCACAAAGTGTTATAACAACTGTCTAACAAGTTTTTCTTTCCTTGTTTCAGACAAAGCTGTCCTTGACAGGGAGACAAACTCTGTTTTATTTTGGAAAGCTGTTGGGCTGAGACACCTTCACAATATTCTAGCTTGAGAGAGAGAGACAAAGAAAAATCTAGTGACGTAGATGCGTAAGCTATTTTTTGAGAGAATTCACTTCTTTCTGTCACTCGAGTCCTGTTTGAATGTCTACTGTTTATGTTTGTCTACAGACAAACAACATGAAATTCAGAACTAAGATTTTTAAAGTCAAGATTCAAGAACCAGTTAAACTAAGTAGAAAACTTTGTCCAGGCCTAGTGTCCAGCTGGTCTGAGGCACTCTCCTCTCCTGTGGAAGCAAGGTCAGGACTGGTAGCTCATGCACAATTTGTGGCAGAGTGCAGAAACAGTATCACCCTTCTAGTGCTGGGCGGTACACCGTTTTGTACCGAATACCGGTTTTATTTTTGTTATGATATAAATTTTTTGAATACCGGACATTCCGGTTTAAATAGCGGAACGTTTCGTCGCGGCCGCCAGTGAACTGTTGTTTCCCGGGGGACATTTTTCCTTGCTGCACCGCTATGTGCGTTAGCATGCTAATGTTTGGAGCAGCTAGTTGCAGCCGCGGGCAAGTACACTTCGCTGCAGCATGCAGAACGGGGCGGTGACGGACCTTTCCGTCAGTCCCATACCTTATATGGAAATGGGACTATTGCATTCCGAAAATGAAGGGGGCGCTAGTGACACTATTTTCTATCGAACACTTTCAACATTAAAAATACACATTTAACATTTCCCGTACCGGTTAGGGTTAGGGTTAGGGTCAAACTTCTTTCTTTCTTCTTCCTTTCCTCATTTGTTGACTTTGTGAGTTTTCCATTGCAGCGAAGTGTACTTGAACGTGAGTAGAAGAAACTCTCTAACTTCTTCCTTTCTTCTTCCTTTGCTCTCTTAATCCCGTGTCTTTAAGGAGCAACCTTCATTTCCGGAATGCAATAGTCCCATTTCCATATAAGGTATGGGACTGACGGAAAGGTCCGTCCCCGCCCCATTCTGCATGCTGCAGCGAAGTGTACCTCGCCGCGGGTGGCGATTCCGCTGCTTGTATTGACTGACGTTTAAAAAAACATCCCGTTTTCACCGTCGCTGAATGTAGTATACACCTCTTCAGTGACACACAGTTAGATTTAACACGTTAATATGGAGACGTTATGCTGATGGAGACTTAACGTGCTTCTATTGTGAAAAGCCCGCAGRAAGTAGTTCGTAGTGGAGTTGGAATTGACTGGTGTGCAAGGTGAGTCGTGCTGATAAGCTTTAATAAATAACATAAAACAATAAACCCGATCATAATCTTTTCTTAACCCTCCTCCTTCACGACTGGACCAAAATGCATGACTACTGTCTCCAACCACCAGTTAGAAGAACAGACACAGAGGAGGGAAACAGAGACACAGACAGAGCTACAGTAAAAGAAAAAAAACTCAATAAGCAGGGTTTGTACATTTTATTATCAGCTGAGCTGTGATGAAAAGAAAAATACCGTCAAATACCGTGAAACTGGTGAAAATGTTGGAAATACCATGATGTAAAATTTTGATCATATCGCCGAGCTCTACACCCTTCTGTTTCTATCCTCAGTACATGCTACACTTTTCTGTGGCAACCCCTGCAGAAGGGAGAATAAAATAAAATAAAAATGAAAAAGGTCATCTTTTGTTTTCAGAACTGTTACTGTAATTTTAAAAAATGTATTTCTGTAATTTTTGAGTCACTGAGATGTGAATTTTGCCTACTCTTATCAAACCATTTTATAATTTTAGGTATTGGGAGCAAATAAAGAAATAAGCATCACCAACCGTTTATTTTCATTTAGGGGAGACCGGGTATGATTGTAACACTTTTTGCTTCAGAACCTGTAACTCACTGATTATTGAGCTAGAGTTCTCACAGTTTTGTACCTACATTTGTGTACTGCAAATGGCACCAATTCAAATCTCTGCAAGATTAACACAGACCTGGTGAGTGGATGTCAAATACATGGTGTAACAAACAGGGGTAGGTTGTAACAAACACCTGCTGGGGTAAGTTGTAACAGTTAGACAAAAGAAGCAAAAACAGAGGCCACATCAGGACCATAGGTCTATTTAGGCTTATTAATTAATTTCTTTTTTTACAAAAATTTAATATAATGTGGTCAGAATATGAGTTTRAATAAAGAACAATGTATTATTTCATTATTAACTCAAATATATGATCATAAATCTGTCAGTTTCCCTTTACGTTATAGATGGGTAGAGATCCTCTTTGGTGCGTCGTTATCCAATCTTTATTCTTTCCTAATCCTAAAATACTTGTTTTTTTTACATAACATAATCTGACTGCGGTAAGCAGATATATATATATTTTTTTTTTTTCCAGGGAAAACATGCCGCAAATTGTAACATTAGTGTTGATAGTGATTAGGAAAACAATGTCCGCCCCACTAATTTTTATGCTCACGAGCAGCTTCTGGTTACCTGTGAGAATCAGGTTAGGTTTTTGCTGAAATAACACTCTGAAATACTAACCCTACCCTCCTCTCATTAAAATGTTTCTGTTCATTTTCCWCATGAGGATAAATGGTGAAACTTGTAGCAATAATACCCCCTTCTTTTAGACAAACGCCCCCACCCGCTGCCTTCACCTCCAGCCTGGCTGCCCCATGAAGTCTCACGGCTGGGGAGCTGGAAGAGCTTTTTCTCTGAGCGGGAAAGAAAGAAAAAACCCTCCTGAAAGAGAACAAAAGTGAGCACAGTTTTTTYTTGCATGTTCCCTTCTCTGCAGAACAAGCCGCTGCTTGGTGCTCAAATGGGGATATTAGGATGTCAATCTCTTGGCCCCTGTGCGCCTTTGTCTTTGCTGAGTGGCCCAGTGCCCAATACACACCTTTTGTCTCCCCAGTCCAATAAGTGCCATTATTGCAGACCGACTGCAGATCGCTCCTCTGGGGTATTTTAGCAGCTTTAATCGAGTGCTTTTAAGGAGCTCAAATAGCGAACGAGAGCTATTTGAAAGCTTCCTCCTTTCAAGCTGCCAGGCCAGGGGACAGTGAGGGACAGTGAGTTCCTGCCCCATCCCCCCACCCCAAACACACACACAAACTTGTTTTTATATCCTTGTGGGGCCCGTCCATTGACTTCCATCCATGTTTTGGTAATTTTATGTCCTAACTCTGACCACCAACCCACCTGACTCTAAAACTAACCTAAACTCAATTCACACCTTGGTCCTAAACCCAACCCCCACACCCAAAATCAGCCTCCGAAGTTGTGGGGTCCAGGCTTTGGGCCCCACAAGGAGCACCCGGTCCCCACGATGCTGCATTTTCCTTAAAACTGGGCCCCACAATGTAGGAAAAACAAGGACACACACACACACGTTTGCACAGCTATCCAATTGGGGACATTCCATTCGCACACACACACACACACGTTTGCACAGCTATCCAATTGGGGACATTCCATTGTCTTCCATTACATTTCTACAGTCTAACCCTGACCACAAACCCTAACCTCACAGGTACACCTGACCCTAAACCTAACCTAAACTCAATTCACACCTTGGTCCTAAAGCCAACCCCCAACCCACCAATGGCATTTAAACCAAACGGGGACTCAACTTAGGTCCCGAAATGCACAAGTTGTCCCCAAATAGGCGTTTTGTCTTAAAATTGCCTCCAAATGTCATCAAAAACAACCCCCCCCCTCCCCCCCCACACCCACACACACACACATTCCTAATTTGTTTCTGTGCAAATTTGGCACATAATTTGCTGTTGATGTACATGGAAATTAATTAAATATTCTGCTTCRTGTCTGTAATTTTATGTGAAGTACTTTAGTTTTTCAAAATCACTTCAAAAATAGGCTAAGCCTACTCTTTTGTTTATATTTTTGTTCAAACACAACCAGGCTTCTTTTAAAATAGCTTTAGTTTATTTGAATACATTGAAAACAATTATCTTTTCAAACAAACACACTTTAAAAAATTGTAAAATTACAGGRCATTTAAGAACCAAATCTTTCAGAGGATCAGCTAGAAAAAAAGCAAACGTTGTACACTGCCTAACGAATTAATCCACCAGTAAAAAGCTGATGGTCAGTGGTCAGTTGAATCCAAACGCACATATACTGTTAAAAAACACCAGATCCACGTGACAAAAGTGTTGGGTTGATTAAAAAATAAATCTAAACTGAAGGAGCTGAGTTCGGTTCTGCAGATGCCAGGATCCCCTGCAGCGAGCCCTGGCAGTACGTGACCACTGTCCCTTGGTGTGTTTGAGTCTGGGGGTAGCCGCCGAGGCCACTCATGGCTCCCAAGCAGCTGTAGCTGTTGCTGTAAGCAGGGCTGTTGTAGCTGTCGGCCGGGTTCCCGTTGTAGCTGTACAGTTTGGAGCCGTAAGTAGCCTCGGGGGAGTAGCTCTGCGTACCAGCAAGACACGGCCTCCCATCCCGGACCAGAACGGGAACGGCGACATGCCGTGGTGGTGGCGCGCGGTGCTGGTGCTGCCCTGCCGCTTCCAGGGGCTTGTCTTGTCGCTGGTGCTTGCACTTGTAGCGGCGGTTCTGGAACCATATTTTTACCTGGTTGGAGGTGAGCTTCAGGTTATTCGCCAGGTGCTCACGTTCGGGGGCGGACATGTAGCACTGTTGCTTGAAGCGCCGCTCCAGCTCAAAGACCTGCGCCTGGGAAAAGAGGACCCGGGGTCTCCGGCGGTTCGTCTGCTTCTTCACCGGCCTCTCCGACCTCGCCTGCTCACCATCCACGGCCTCCTTCCGGGACACCATTCCACAGCTCTCTGTGCATATTAGAAGAAGCATAGAAGTGTTAGGTCGTTAAAAACGCACACTTTTTGTTTCTCACTGTAACACTTCTTGTTTGAGTGTTGTTTTTTGTTTTGCCTTTTTATTTCTCTGAAATAGTGAGTTCAATAAATAAATAAAATGATCAGACTGACCAATTAGGTAACGAAAATGCTTCTTGAACTTATGTGGAAGCTTTCAGCTTATTTTTCTCCCTGTTTCCCTGGAGCCTGCTGAGTAAAACCAACAGGTCTGCTCTTCTTCTCCGGGTCATTTTTTCCCAGAGCTCTACTAATTGGCGGTTTATGGTTCACACATCATAACAGTCACCACAGAAGTGAAGCACTAAAACGTGTTTGACATGTGGAGAGCACACTGGATCCGTCTCAGGTTCCATTTATAATATCGGACTGTGGAAGAATAAACACGGCGGCAGCTGAAGGTCGAAGCTGGGTCTCTTTCATTACTCATTTGGTTTTCAATTATTTGCAGGATTTAAGCTTTTATAAATCATACGATTTCACTAAAAGACACGATTCCTTCAGTAGGTTAGGTATCCCCATAGATAGCCTACTGTGTTTAAAGTTTTGAGTGTAGTGTTATTCTTAATCAGACCTAACATTTTATTTACTTTGGATCAGCTTTTTGAAATTTACTGTACTTTGAACCCACCTTAAGTTATTGGTTTAATTCCCGAGAGACACTGGATTTAGCTAAGAATTGTTCCTCTCTGACACAGTAATGGTGATTAAGCTTATAGATCAAGTGCTTTTTAATTAGCCTTTTATAGCCTAATTCACTGTATATGAATTATATAAGTGGAAGAAATTGATTATAATTTAAACAGCATCAGTTAGACTAAATGGGATTTGAACTTTTTTTGTACCCAGAGGTTATTTCAATTCAGTTCACTTCAGTTTAATTTAATTTAATTCAAAAATACTTTATTGATCCCAGAGGGAAATTAGGTAATTGTGAATTGGTGCGATGTAAACAAACCAATTTGATTAAATAAGTATGACTATTAAAAGAAAAAATCTCATCATGGCATCTTGATCTTTCTCACTTCTTAAGTTACGTTAAGTTAAGTTAAATTAATCTAAAACCCAGCTTTGTCTCTGTTCACTTACAGCACAATCTTTCTGTTACAGTAAACTATTACCTAGGCTAATTATAGCCCATTATATTTATTTGTTAGCCTATTGTGTTTTAGTTACAGGTTTTAAGTTGTAGTGAAATATGTTTTTGGGTAGGCTATATAATTTTTTTTGGTGATGGATACAATATGTTGTTTAGTATATTGTTGTGAAAGTAAAACAAAATCTCAACTCACTGCTCTCTGGCTCCTCCAGCTCGGTGGCCTCCAGCTTGTCTCCTTGCAGCCCGGAATGGATGTACATGTTTGGGGACAGGCTGGTGTCCCCACACTCCTCGTCCCGCACAGCCAGCCTGCTCAGATAAGCCAAGTTGTCTTGCCTGTTGGAGAAAGAAGCGTTGTCCCGATGCCGGGCAAGTATGCAGAAMAGCGGGCTTTGGAAATGCTGCTGGGGAGGAGACCATGACAGGTGGTGCTGGCTGTGGCTGCGGTGTGTGAGCTGCTGCTGCTCCGGCTTCAGGATATCTTTGATGGAAAACGATGCAGAGGTGAGCGGGCTCTGCAGCATCATGTCATCCAGCTCTGCAGCATTGAGGAAATAAAGACCACTGAGTAACATGCACTCTGAATTCTGCCGCCCCACTGTTTTTTTTTTCCACACAAACAATTGGGGACTTTGACTAATTGGAGGTACGTTAAGCCCTGGTAATCCCTCATCGCCATAAATCGCAGGGAAACATACTGCTTGTGCCGGCTCAGTCGATGCAAGTCTTCTCTTTGACAGGCACAATGTGAGGCCCTGGGTGCTCATCTTGGACCTGGGAGGTGGAGGGGCACCTCTCAGAGGGAGGGGTGTGAGAAATGGAAAGTCCATGAGGGGCTGGAGGGGAATCTCTTTGAGAGACTGGTTGCGATCGTGTGACATGAATGTAGCTACACACTAACTATTTATCTAGAGAAAAATGGAGGTTACTGCTGATGAATGTGCAAAAAAAGTTCAGCAGAATCATATGTACATCTCCCTGTTTTTTCTTTTTTTTACCTTTATGCAGGGGCAGTTCTATAGGAGTGGGGCATTGGCCCCTGCTGAAATTTTTTTATAGCCACTGCAGTAGAAAACAGAACTGAATATTAGTTTCTTCATCAGCAGTGACCATTTTTATAAAAGAGAAGAAGAAAAAAACCCAGAAGAAAATGGAGAAATTTAATGGATAAGATTGAAAGAGAGATTAGAGAAGATATGTGAAATATAAACCAAGAAATGACAAGACAACACACACGACATCTGTCTGCACACCTGTAAAAATGGAGAAAACAACAACACAGCAACAAATAACATATGCATATCATTGTTCTTCTATCCTCATGGGGACTTTCCAATTGTCCCCTCCGTGAAGCAGAAACATGCACGCGCACACGTGCTCTGGTGCGCAGTGAATCAGCTGTGTGTTTTTCTTTCAAACCAGTCAGAAACCTTTTTTTTTTTTTGTTAATTGTGGAAATTAAATGTGGGTGGTTGCTCTCTCTTAGTGTTAAGTCTCAGTAGTAAAGTCCATCTTGCAGTTGGGTTCTGCTCTGCAGCAGATCACTCCAGCAGCATGAGGAAGCTCACCGCTTTTTACATGTACCGGTAATTGGCTTCACCACAGTTACGTTCCAGGTTCTTAAAATGGTTTTATGACTACACAGTTTAGTTATTTAAGTGAAAGATACATAAAATTCAACCAATACAAACTAAATTCAAGACTTTTTCATGTTATGTTATTTTTATTATTTTAAAAAGCTTTTTCTCATTTAATAAATATTAGTAATATTTCTGCTGTTAATCATAAGATCCCGAAGGCCAAACTACAGGAGTTGCCCACCTGAGGGGTAGGTGTAGTCTAAAAGATAAAACCATGAAATGTTTAAGATGTTTATAAAATGTTCAACCCTTAAACATTTGCACTTATTATTTAGAATTTCTTTCATTTCGTTTATCTTGATATTTAAGTTAAAATTTGCGGTCATAGAATCACTTTAAAATTACTTTTCAGTAAGTTTTATGCAGAGGTGGGACCAAGTCAGTGTTTTGCAAGTCTCAAGTCTTTATCATCAAGTCTCGAGTCAAGTCTCAAGTCAAGACAGGCAACAGTCAAGAAGTCCCAAGTCTGAAACTTGGAATTTCAAGTCCCCTCAAGTCTTTTTTTATTGAAAAAATTGTTTTTACCAATGTTGCAATTATATGTTAAATGTAAATAATAGAACATGTGTTCTTTTTTGGTGGTAAAATAAATATTTGTCAGTCCAAGTGCGAGTTAAATCTACAGTGTTGCCAATTTCACATCTCAGTATTGATAAAGACATGTTGCGTGAATCAAGCTTGCCAGAATCAAGACACAAAATAATGTGCTGCACTGTGGGTTAACTACCCCACTGAGTGTTATGTTCAGGGTCCTTACTATTGAACAATTATTATTGTAACAGGAATTTCTGAAGGATAGCAAAATTACTGTATTTTGTTTTGTTTTGGAAATGGGCAACGTGACCCCCATGCTGCCATTTGATGAGTTATAACTGGAAAAAAAAGGAAAAAACCTACTTAGTGTAGTGTCAGAACGGTCGGTGTAGGTACGGGTCGGACCGGTTGGTTTTCCACTGATGTTCCAGTCTGGTTCCAATGGGTGTGTTCTGGGCAGTTGGTGGAGGTGGTTTTTAGGTATTTTGAATAAAAATTAATGGGCAAAATGAGAGATGGAAAAACATTTGATGAATAACTTTTGAAATTTTAAACATTTGCAAAATTTTAGCCAATCAGTGACGAACAGTTTTCTGACGTCGCATTTTGGTGTCAGCTGGGGCCGGTTGGAACCACAATGAAGTAGGTACTAAAAAAAGGGCCGGTTCCATGGATCTGGCCTAATGGAAATGGCTTTGAACCGTACTGACACTACACTAAGTGGCACTAGTGGAAAAGGGGCATTAGTACACTGACTGCAGTAAACAATCTATTATCAATATATTTTCTCAATGTAGATGTCTTCAAATACACAATCCATCCTTGGATGGAACTGGACCCAGTTCAGCATTATGATGTGGACAGAAAGAAACTCTCTTCCCGAGTTCAAGTACAGAACATGCTTTCTGAGACGGACCCCCACTCACCTTTTCAAAAGAAAAGTAGCACCTACCGTTCTTTGTGCAACTTCAAATGTCAAACAAAGTTGGAAGTTGTTTAATTTCCATCTGTGATTATCTTCTTGCAGGTTTTGCATGTTGCACTTGTGTACTTTATAATTTATGTACCCAAAAGAAATTACTCTCGGGAGGAAATCTGTCTTGGGCATTTTTTTTTTCATCTCTCGTATTTGATTTTCCGTTTTTGATTTTCCGTCTTGTTAATTTGATTGGTTGTGTTGCAGTTCATGCACACATACTTATGGAGTGTGGAAAAACAGAGGGACGGTCTGCATCAGTTCATGATTTTAAAAAAGTGAACCATTAAAACACTAATTTTAAATCATGTGTTTGCAAATTTGGTTGCACCCGACTTTTGAACTGGTGCACCTAAGGAAAAATGTTAGGTGCAACGAGTGCAAAAAGTTAGTCTAGAGCCCTGTAGGGGTAACCCTGGTGAAATATTCATTTCTATTTTTTTTTTGTCTTTGATTTTATTTTTTACACTTATAAGAACAAAATCATTTTAAAGTGTTTTTATTCTCTTTAAGTGAATAGGACAATAAGTCCTATATATATGTTATCTCATTTAATCTTCTATTAGAGGTTATGATCAATATATCATTACTCAAAGTTTATTGAATTAATCTTTGCATGTCTCTTTATTCCAGAAGATTAACACTGTGAAGAAAAAAAGAGTTGAAATGTGCTTTAATGTTTTTTATTAGTACTGTTATTAATCATGGTTTAATCATTTTTTTCTTAATTGGTTTAAAGATTAATAATTGTGTACTATTAATTTCACTGTTAATCCATTGATGCAAAGGTCTGACTTATAACCTTAGGTGAAGTGATTTTTAAGACAGCATGTTAAGTCTGCCTTTTCGGCAGACTCCAAGGTCTTTTGGTGATAACAGTGCGCAGCTGGCCGAACSAGTGTGAGAAAGTMCCATTGTTTATTTTCTCACTGTCTCCTCTCAAGAAACTAATGTTTTCCTATTCTCACGTTTTTAACACTAGGTAGTTGTTCTTTGTCTGTCGTTGGAGCGGATGGTTCTGACTGGGTTTTCTCTGAGGTGTGGTGTCCATCTCTCGACACCTGCATGGATGTAAACCTGGATGGAAGTTACTAACCTAATTTTGCTGCTGAGAAGCACCTGACTGATTCCAGCCTGGAGCCCGCAGAGGCTCGTTATGGGGAGGCGAGAGGCATCTCCCTCCGAGCTGTCAAGGAGACATCATCCTGCGGACTTCGCATGCTGTCAMTCTCAAAACATTCTACCTGGCTGCCTGTCCTGCTGTCCTGAAGACATCAAAGTTAGAAAGAACACGTTTGCTGAGATAAAAAGCTGAAGTCTAGCCCTCGGAGATGTCTGGTCCTGACGCTGTTTGCTGGTCTGGTCTCTAATTTAAAGAACAAGTGCCAAATTCACTAATCTTCTTTTCCTCCTATCTCTTAAAGCTAAATCTATACCTTTACTCTCTTATTTACTTAAAACCTAGTTAAGCAGCGTACCAGTAAATTACAACACCTTAAGTTTACTGTTTTTGTGTCAACTCTGAGTGGAATTTTTATGTCGAAAATATAACTTGTGCTCACTTATTCATATAATATTTTTAACAAATGTTTGTATGTTTATTCCTGTTCATATATCTAAAATAAATTACTTTATTTTGAGAAATCTGTTCAGGTCACAAGTTTTCATTTTTCTCATTCATGATCAGAGTAATGTCTTATCATTTCTTGAGATTTCATAACGTAAAGATCTTTGCGTAAGATATGACTTTGTGAGATTAAGCTGGTATTAATTTCATATAGTAGGTTCTTACAGCCCTGACCTGACATATTTGCTCAAGAAAAAGTTGAATCTATGCTGTGTGAAGTTATTTTTCATTTCTGGGAGGGGGAGTGCACCACAAAGCAGTGGCACTTAGGGCACCCAGATGACTAGCTAATCTAATCTCTCTTTCAATCTTATCCATTAAGAGTCACCTCTGCTGCGGACGATAAGTTAATCCGAGTCACCAGCCTCAGGAATCGCAGGTTAACAGCAGCTCAGATTAGAGAACAGGTCAGTGCCACACAGGGTTCTAGCAGCAGACACATCTCTAGAACAACTCTTAAGAGGAGACTGTGTGAATCAGGCCTTCATGGTAAAATAGCTGCTAGGAAACCACTGCTAAGGACAGGCAACAAAAGAAGAGACTTGTTTGGGCTAAAGAACACAAGGAATGGACATTAGAMCAGTGGAACTGTGACGGTACTGGGTGATTTGCTGTTTTATTGTTATTAATTTAATTAATTTTAAGTTGGGCGCCAGCCAGGTATCCCTCCTGACAAATAGGATATTTTGGACCCAAAATTCCAGCTTGGCTTCCACAAGCTAAGAAGAAAAAGATGGCTTGGCTTACAAGCACAAAATGAAGGCTTTTCTTGACTTGGTTCCACAAGTGCAACGTCTGGATGCAGGTTGAAGTAATCAGATTCCATACATCAAAATAAAACTGCTCATATAAAAAACTCCACAGACAGGAGTTTTCTTTATGCTGAGTGTGTTTTATTTGAGGCAGCTGGGCATTTTTAGGTTTAAGCTTCAGTTTTGTTGTTTCGGCAAGAGGTACTGCTGTGGGAACGACGTGACGTAAGCGTTTTGTTGTCAGTTCCAGCAGACTTTGTTTTTGTTTGGTCAGTTCGATTAAATAAAGTTTGTCCCACCTCGATCAGGAGCTTGAAGGCAGGTTTGAGGAAGCTGCTGCTCAAATCGGGTCGGGGCCGACGAATGAACGAACTTAAGCCAAATCAGTGTGTGTGTGTGGCTCTTAAAGGTAAAGTTCACCACAGCTCTAACGCAGGTGTTCAGAATAAACAATTAGTTTCAGGTGAGCAAAGCACAGGTGAAAATAACTAAATTAAATGAGGGCA